TATATATTAGAATACGGAATATTGTTTTTCTCCATTCCTTTCTTACGCGTTTTAGAAAGAATAATAATATTTTAAAATTATCGTCTGAATAAAATGTCTTTTTGTAGGAAGAATCCAATTTTTTTTACATTTTCGCTCATGGCGCTGTTTATTTTAGGAGGACGTAAATTGCTACAGGCGAGTAAGTTGGAACAACAAGGGAACGATAGTTACAACTGCACGCCACCGGCAATCAAAGAATTCCCGTCCGACGGATTTACGCGGCAGCAAAGACAGGCAGGATTTATAATAATCCACTTCGTCATTGCTATCTATCTGTTTTTATTACTTGCTATTGTCTGCGACGATTATTTCGTTCCCTCTATTAAGAAAATTTGCGAGAGTGAGTATATAACTGAAGGACTATTGTTCTCCGACTTGACCGCATTTTCACGTATATATAATGCATATATCCTCTATTATATTTTATAGTATTATTTTTTATTCGGTTTTTCGCGATCTCTCTCTCTCTTTCTCTCTCTCTCTCTTTCTATCTTTCGCGCGACAAAATAAAGTGCCGTTAAAATAAAACGAACGATATCTCTTGGCAGAGCTTAATGTCACCGAGGATGTGGCCGGCGCGACCGTGATGGCGGCTGCGAGTTCGAGTCCGGAATTGTTCATCAACGTTATTGGTACCTTCGTGACGGAAGGTGATTTGGGAGTCGGCACTATCGTCGGTTCCGCGGTATTCAACATATTGGCGGTACCTGCGTGTTGCGCGTTGTTTGCCAACAAAGTACGTATGCGCTGTATAAATTTTGACGCAATTTTGTGCGATTTCGGTCCTTTTTGTCGTACATATTTAATCCTTATATTATATCCACCTTATATTATATCCAGGTGTTACATTTAGAGGGATGGCCCGTATCGCGCGATACACTGGCGTATGCCTTGACAGTTCTTCTCTTGATCGGTGTTACATTTAGAGGGATGGCCCGTGTCGCGCGATACACTGGCGTATGCCTTGACAGTTCTTCTCTTGATCTTGACTCTGCGAGACGGACGTATCGAGTGGTACGAGGCGCTCATCCTCGTCGCTTGTTATATTCTGTACATAACAGGTAATACACGTCGAATGAATTTTCAGAATGGACGCAAATTAAAGTTTTCCTTTTAATGTACAAGTCTGAAAAATTACGAATTTCAATCTTGCTCCAATTTTGAAAGTATATAGTAATCATAGGAATATTTAGATAACATTTTAGTTTTATAATTTGTTTAAAATGAGAGTTTTAATAGTAAGTAATTAATTAAATTGTTTGCCGCGATATTATAATATAGAACAATGTAGAATACTTAAACGATTAAAAAATAATCGCTCTCACACTCATCTTTTTCAGCAATGTGTTTCAATCGTCGTATCAGCAATTTCATAAATCGAGTAACATCTAGAAAGAAAAGATATAGAAATATCTGCGAAGAGAGCCCCCTGCTTCTACCGAATAGTAAGATATCGATATAATATAATTTGTTATTATCGTCTCTGCAAAAAAAATAAGTGAATTAAAAAAAATTGATACAATTTCATTCTGTGAAGTAATAAATTTTTAATCTTCAGAAGTCAGGAATTGTGTGCTCCTGATATTTTTTTAATTCCTTTTCGTTTCTCTATCAAGGAATAAACTTTGTTTTATTCTACTTTTAATAATGTCTAGTCGCATTGATTTTTATCCTATGAATCGTCAAAAATAAAAGAGAAAAAAAAAGAGAAAAAATAAAAGATTAAAAGTTAACAAATTTGTGACCATTAAAAAATGGTGCTTGATGTATGAAGAAATAAAAAGAACCGGCAAAAAAACCCCTCAAAGTCTGACTTCGTGGATTAGGAGAGTTTAATTTCACAGAATAAATTCCTGTCAATTTATTTTAATCCACATATCTCTTTGCAGGGATTGTGGTAACTACTCGTAAGAAATATAATCTCATACTTGGCTATCTTTCATTCCCTGAATCTGACAGACTTGATCAAAGAAACGGAGATTTGTGAATTTTCGAGTTCGAGTGAGCCGGACGAATCACGTATGTATCACAAAATTAGTAACATGTGCGATAATATTGTACGATAGTATATATAAGGCTGTGCACTATTATTTCGCACTCAGCATCTTTATATAATCTTGTTCAGACATATTCACGCTAATAATACAAGTTCTTGTACATTTATGACGCAAATGGAAAACAGTAACGTAAAATGTATTATATACTTTTTTTTAGTCGAGATAGTAAATATGACGTCTTGGCCGAATTCGACGTGTGAGAAATTATGGTGGATAATCACTTGGCCCATTAATCTAGTACTACTCATTACTATTCCCGACTGCAGAAGAAGCAGGTTACGATTCTGCTATCCTGTTACGTTTTTCATGTGTGTAATATGGATCGCGACTACATCCTACATTATTGGATGGGTCATCACTGTCATCGGTATGTATCGTTTCGTTTTCATTGAACATATTATTGAATATATATTTAATATTTTATTTAAATTGCTACCACGACAAAAACTTCGCGAAACAAACTTAAAATGCTGAAGCATAAAATTTATACTCCATATAACATGACATCAAAACATCAGAAGAATATTGTATGTGGATATGTTTAAAGACATTCTAAATTTTTTAAATATCATTTTGTTTTTATATTATTTGAAATGATTCATGTCACGTTTATATGTTTCAGGCAATACTTTTAGAATTCCTGATTCTATTATGGGCTTAACGTTTCTCGCGGCAGGAATGAGCGTACCTGAGGCAGTTTCAAGTGTTATTGTTACAAATCAAGGTAAACACCTTATCTATTTGTGGCCCTATTAGACTATGATGTTAGAAATACGAGAATTTCTGTCCTGCCCTATACTTTATATATAAGAGTACTTTGTATGTAGATACTAAAAATCCTTTACAGGTCTCGGAGCTATGGGGATAAGTAATTCGATCGGATCAAACGTATTCGATGTCTTATTATGTCTCGGATTGCCATGGTTTATAAAAGCTACGCTATTACCGAAAATACCCGGACAATATTACGTTCAAATCAATTCTCAGGGACTAGTATACAGTTCGGCATCTCTCTTTTCTACATTAATCATCTTATATGGAGCTTTACTTATTAACAAATTCAAATTAAATCGAACAGTCGGGATCATCTGTCTCGTGATGTACGTCGTATTTTTGATATTTGCATCCATTCTAGAACTCAATACATTCTTTGTCGTTAATTTACCGATATGTATCGACTAGGAAATATATCAATTTCGTTCAAACATAAGATATTTATATTTTTTGTTGATATCTGTGTGTGAATCTGTATGTTGCGACAAGCAAATTTTTACTTAAAACGTTTGTACAATTTTTGTACAAGTATGAAACAAAGATATCTGAATATTAATAAACTTCTAATTAATATATCACATTAAAAAAAAGTTATGATAAGTTTATCTATCCTCTACATATAGTTACTCATAAAAATTATATTATAATCTATCATACTATTTATGCTTATTCTATATGTTTAAATTGAATTATATATTAACACATACACATATAATAGAAGTATGTTCATCAACTTTATGGGAAGAATGTCACATGAAATTTTTTAAATATAGATTGCAAAATATATATAGTATATGTGTACTGTAATTCTCAAATATTATGAATGAAAGAGATATAAAATAATTTCATTACCAAAAAAAATCTACTTTGGTTATTATAAATATATATAATTATTGTGGATGCACACAACATATAGATGCATACACACAGACATATGTAATCTTACATATCTTTATTAGTAACTAAAGACTTAATTTACTTGTTTTTTTTTTTAAATATAGTTACAAACTGCATAATAACGTAATAAATGTATAAACCATATTTTTTAAATTTATTTTATAAATTAAATTTATAATTTATAAACTTTTTTACCTTACAGTGTTCAAAATAATTGACCACAATCTACTATCATAATTTTCTGATATGTTTTACCAGTTGAAGATCCATAACTTTCAATTTTTCTTACAATGTCCATTCCTTCAACAACATTGCCAAATACAACATGTTTATTGTCTAGCCAAGGTGTTTTTATAGTAGTGATAAAAAATTGTGAGCCGTTTGTATTTGGACCAGAATTTGCCATCGATAATATACCCCCTCCAGTATGTTTGAGTTCAAAATTTTCATCTTCAAATTTTTCACCATAGATTGACTTTCCACCTGTACCGTTGTGATGTGTAAAATCACCACCTTGACACATGAAATTGGGAATAATGCGATGAAAATAACTTCCTTTATAACCATAGCCTCTTTCTCCTGTGCATAGTGCACGAAAATTTTCTGATGTCTTTGGTACAACATCAGGACGTAATTGTATTACAATTTGTCCTAATGGCTTATCATCTGCAGTTATGTCAAAATACACTCGTGGTAAGTTCATCGTGTTGCAAATCTCCAAAGATGTGTTGTGGCTAGATATAATAATTATGATAAAAATTATATTGTAGCTGGAATATGTGAGTCGAAAATCAAACGTATCTTTCTAATAAGTATTAATTTCACTAGTGTTTTCTTTATAACACTTACATATTATCATATATAGTTTTTATTTACTTACATGTATTTGTAATGGATTTGTATACATAAATTAAAAGTTTAAAAAATCGATTCCCATTCGCAAATTCAATTCGGATTCGTAAATAACAATTGATTGAAATACTTGTTTGAAACTTTTGTTTTTTTCTCTGTATGGTTATGTATCTAATTAATTCTTTGTCTTCTTCGCCTTCTCTTTTAAATATTTGTCTCTTTAGGAACACAATACAGTCTCTTTATATTCTTTTTGAAGCGTATTGTAATCCAGGCCAGATTTTTAAACTGTTTTATACATAACCGAACTGAACTACACAACTTTCGTTGTTTGAAATATCTAACGTCAGCGACGTCTTATATCCGGAACCAAACTAAATATTGAGAGTGTTCGAAAATCTAACTATGGGGCAAAGTAGCGTTTAATTAGCCAATTAAAGAAATCCTTTCCGATTGGTCAATTAAATGCTGCTCTATTCACGGATAAGATTTTTGAACATATCTAATATGACGTAATCCGTTCGATTCGAATAAGCGTGCAATTTATCGCCGAGGTATAATACCTATATACATACCTCGTGATTAAATTGCTCTAATATAAGAGAGAGAGAGAGAGAGATAAATTATTCATTGAATCAAGCAAATCTAACTAAGCTAATCTTAATCACTTCTTCACATTTTAATGACACAACACCGGCAGAATGAAAAATATTTTCTTAATAAAATCGCATTATTTTCACAAAAATGCATTCATTTTGATATAATTCTTTACGCTATATTTTCTGGCACATTTTTATCTTTGAAAATATTTCATATGAAATTCATATGTAAACAAATTTTTGTATAGAAAAATAGTTTCATGATCGTGATTTTATGTAATTTTCGGACAAGAATTCTCATATTCCTCGAGTTTTTTTTTTTTTTTTACTTACGTGATCGACATATTTGAAGAAGATAATCGCCATCATGTGTATAACCGCGCAAATACTGCGCGATTTCTTGAATCGTAGACGATTCCAAAGATAATTCGATTCTATCCGATTACGTAAATTGAACAATATATACATACATTTTATTATATATGTAATTGTTGACTATGTAATAATTTTAATTACATAACGATCGACGAAGAGGAACGAGTTGTGCGATTTCCGAGCAAAAAAAAAAACGAAGTACCGATCCGTAAAATAAAACCGTCAAAACGTCCAACGATCCGCTCGCGTTCGATTAATTTTCGATGAGTATATATATTGTATGTACATATCTCGTGAGACGCGACGTATATATATTTAGAGATGATTTAAATAAATGCAAATGTTGTCTATCACATCACAGTCCGGCGTGTCCATCGGCGCGTTTCTACACAAATGAACGGAATGAAGTTGTCAATATTCAAAAATAAACCGCTGTTTTTAGCGCCTAAAAAGGCGCCAAATGAAAGAATACGCGCCAATATAAATATACCAACGCGCTAAAACTAATATCCTTTTTTCGTATTAATAGATTTGAGAAGAAAGGAAAGATTAAAGTTAAATAATAGAAATAATTTCTTTTTCGAACACACGGCTCGAATACAAAGCAAGAACAGAAACAATGGATCTATCCAGTGTCTTTCGTACGCGATTTGCTACGTCGCATGCATATCACGTACACACATACGTATCGTATGTGATCGACAGTGCGCATGCGTGTGCGGATGGAGCTTGGGAAGGGGGTGTGAGTGAGCAAGGGTGAGGGGTCGAAGTCAAAGTGTGCGTTATTCCGGTGGTGATTTGGAGCGAAAAGTCGGGGTTTTCTCTTGGACGTTAAATTCGTCGACGCATCGACCGGTGCCTGTTAATCCCCCACAGCTGTCACACGTCATATGTCATACGGAACAATACCGTGGTTGTCGTAGGTGGAGGAGAGTCGCGGGGGCCAAATCGAAACGATTCGAGAGGAGCGAGTTGTTGCACCCGGCCTCGTCCTAACCGACCGACTGACCGATCGTTTCGATCGATTCATCTTCTAGACGCTCATTATCTATTATTATTCCCAGCATGGAAGCTCTGATACCTGTGATAAACAAGCTGCAGGACGTGTTTAATACCGTCGGTGCTACTGCGTTACAGTTGCCACAAATCGTCGTCCTGGGTACGCAGGTTAGTCGAGTCTCCCTTTCTTTCTCTCTTTTATCTTTGATTTGTAATAATATAGCAGCTCTGTTCCTCTCGTTCGGACACTCCGCGTTGTTAAAATGAGATAAATACAGAGCTTAAATAAAGGAGAAAAGTTTGCGGAGTACAGTTGGAAGGAACAGATCGATATATCATTCACCGTTCGATGGATATTTAAATTTTTTCTGTCACGAATAATGTAATGGCGATCAGTGACATTCTATAAAATTCGCGATTTTTTTAGTCTTGCATTCGCGCGAAAGATATCATAGTTGAGGAAGATGATATTGTAGCTTTTTTAATACCCAAATCAAAATAATATGAATATTATAGTTTTCCTTTATATTTTATTTTTTTTTTGTATCTGTAATCAAAAGACGAAAAACGAAGTTATCAATATCCTAATATCTTTATTTCTAAAATGAATTTTGAGAGTTTGCTCCAGAAAAGGGATCCAAATGAGATAACCTATAGACATTCTTCAATGATGATTTAATAACAAATATTGCGTTTTTCAGAGCTCTGGAAAATCATCTGTAATAGAGAGCTTGGTGGGACGCTCCTTTCTACCTCGAGGGACTGGTATTGTCACACGACGTCCATTAATATTACAACTTGTGTATACGCCAAAGGATGATCGAGAACATAGAAGCGCGGAGAATGGTACTCTGGATGTGGAGGAATGGGGAATGTTTCTGCACACAAAGAACAGAATCTACAAAAATTTCGATGATATTCGTGCAGAAATTGAAGCCGAAACTGATAGAATGGCTGGCGCAAACAAAGGCATCTGTCCAGAACCGATTAATCTTAAAATATACTCGATGTCAGTTGTTAATCTAACACTCATAGATCTACCTGGTATCACAAAAGTACCAGTGGGTGACCAACCAGAGGACATTGAGAGTCAGATCCGTGAACTTGTATTAAAATACATATGTAGTCCTAATTCTATAATCTTAGCAGTTGTCACTGCCAATACTGATATGGCTACAAGTGAGAGTTTAAAGTTAAGTAAAGATGTTGATCCAGATGGCAGACGAACGCTAGCTGTCGTTACAAAATTAGATCTCATGGATGCTGGTAAATTTAATTTTCCACGATCTTAAATTTTGTCGTGAACATAGTATTAATTGTATAACGCCATTAAATACATTTCCTTTTTTTTCTTTTTTAGGAACCGATGCCATAGATATTCTATGTGGTAGAGTCATCCCAGTTAAACTAGGTATTATAGGCGTTGTTAATCGTTCTCAGCAAGATATAATGAATAACAAGAGTATTCAGGAAGCACTGAAAGATGAAGCCACATTCTTGCAACGGAAATATCCAACATTGGCAAACAGAAATGGGACTGCTTACTTAGCAAAAACTCTCAATCGTTTACTTATGCAACATATCAGGGATTGTTTACCAGAATTGAAGGTAATAATGTTAATAGTTGTCGAATTACGGCTAGTATAGTTAGAATCTACTAAAGTGAACATAATTTGGTAGAACTTGTGTTTTTTGAAAACAGAACAGAGTGAATACAATGGTCGCGCAATATCAAACCCTGCTCAATTCCTATGGCGGAGACGTCGAGGATAAAAGCCAAACCTTATTGCAAATAATCACGAAATTTGCAAACAGTTATTGCGCTACGATAGAGGGTACTTCTAGAAACATAGAAACTACAGAGCTGTGTGGCGGCGCTCGTATCTGCTATATATTTCATGAAACGTTTGGCAGAACACTTGACTCAATTAATCCGCTGGCGGACCTCAGTAAAGTGGACATACTAACCGCTATTCGCAATGCAACCGGTCCGAGACCGGCTCTTTTCGTGCCAGAAGTTTCCTTTGAGTTGCTAGTCAAACGTCAAATACGAAAGTTGGAGGATCCTTCGTTACGATGCGTAGAGCTCGTACACGAAGAAATGCAAAGTATAATACAACATTGTGGCACCGAAGTGCAGCAGGAGATGCTGCGTTTCCCTAAACTACACGAACGTATTGTCGATGTTGTTACACAATTACTACGTAGACGGCTCCCACATACCAATTCAATGGTAAAATATTTGTTATATACTTTTATATTTGTATGTTCTTTCAATATTTATTTAATAACTTGATTTCTTGAAAAAAAAAGGTAGAGAACTTGGTGGCGATAGAATTGGCGTATATTAATACTAAGCATCCCGATTTTCATAAAGATGCAGCATTTGTGTCGTCCTTATTAAAGGATACTGATGTAGATCATCTGAAGCACAACAAACGATTACCTTCAGCATCCAGTACCATAATCACCAATGACACAGTAAATAATAAATTTTTATTTAATGTTTTTTTGAAATTTTATTCGTTCTATGTATATGATTAACATTATTGTAAAGTTACTCTGTTTGGAACTAACAATGATTTAAATGCAGATAACAATATTTGCGTGTTTATCAAGTTATTTAGTATTTCGTTCACACCATTTCTAATTTTTGTGTGATGTGTTTGTGTAATTAATAATGAAATATATTTGTAACAGATTATAAAAAAATCAGTCAATAATCAAGATGAGAACTCTGTTTCTGATCAGACTAAGGAGCAGCAAGGACAGCAAAATCACTGGCTGCTAACTAACTTACTACTCCAGGGAAGAACGGAGTCGACTAGTTCGATGGATGGTTCTCCGGTCAGAATGCGCGAAAATAGTAATTCCCCGCATCCGAATTCAGCGATTGAATTACAAAGAGCATCCCCGCAACAAAAACCAGTAAATCTACTCCCTGCAGTGCCAATACAGACGTCCCGAAAGCTTAGCGAGCGTGAACAACGGGACTGTGATATTATCGGTAAGAAGATATGTATTATATTAAACGTCATATACATATATAAAGAAATTTTAATTTTAATCTTTTAATCACTTTCATTGATTCTATTTACAGAAAGGCTCATAAGATCATACTTTTATATTGTACGAAAGTCTATTCAGGATAGTGTACCAAAGGCTGTTATGCATTTTCTAGTCAACTATGTAAAAGATAATTTACAAAGTGAACTTGTCACACATTTGTATAAATCGGATCAGGTTGAGGCCCTATTAATCGAAAGCGAGCACATCGCTGTCAGACGTAAAGAAACAGCAGACATGCTTAAGGTATTATAAAAGATTACATAAATTTATTTGATTTGAATTTTGATCTCTAACAGTTGCTCTTGTTTTACAGGCATTAACCCAAGCCAATCACATTATTAGTGAAATTAGGGAGACGCATATGTGGTAATCAACCGCCTAAACCACTGGATCCTAGTTGAATTTAGGTATTACATCTGTGTTTTAATGAACTAAGTTATAGGATGTACTTTACCAATGTATATGATGGACCACTGTACATAATTCTTATCTTTCTCATGCAAGTAAGATATATATGTATCATAATTGAAGCAATGGTCCTGATATATTTCATTACTTAATTTTATTGTACGAGCATGAAGGAAGCACATAATATCATACATAAAACGCGCATTTATACAATGTTGAATTATTATTTGATTTGCAAGATATATAATTTAAGCTCGATTTTCTATATACTGATCATTAATATATATATACTCTGACTTATTATTGTATAAAAATGGAATAATTTCGTAATAATTTTTTTGTTTTATTTTTTTTTTTTTTTTTTTTTTTTTTTTTTTTTTTTTTTTTTTGTTATGTTTTTATTACACGGAGTTATATGCTTCTTCATCATTTAATCTAATCTTGCATTGCCTTGCATTGTTAATGATAATGCACTTAAGAATGAAGTACATTGTGCCGTGAACATTTTCTGTTTTTCTATGTTTATAAATCTTTTCTAAAATAGCTGAAAGTATACTCTTATGCGAATTATATACGTCGCGTCTTTTTACAAAACTGTGTAAAAAGGGGAAAGCTGACAACAACAAAATTAAATAACTCTATTTCACTACTATATTTAAATAACAATCATTTATAGTAGTTTTTAAAATAAACTATTTATAAATGATTATATGTGTTATAAGCAGACACGGAAATTATTATACAGAGATTAAGCCGAAAGAATTGTAACATTGGACGATACACTGTTCTGTTTTGATACCTTCGATATTAGGTTCAACCAAGTGTTTATTGACAAAGTATGCGTGTTCATATAGCAAAGGGATCGCATCTTTGTAATTCCCCTGATACATTTTAGCGACAGCGTTCAATCTCTTTTGAATCGATTTACGAAGTTGTTTCTCGAGCTTTTTTAGATCGATCATTTTTTGACATTTAGTACATTGTTGATTTGCCACTTTCTGCGAAACGTTCGCATTTACCACTGAGATATCTGTTGGTCCGGAACACGCTGTACATTTGTAATACATTGTCTCGGGCAGTGGAAATTTCCAATTTTGCGTGCAAGCGTCACACTCGCATAGAAATCGATATTTCTTCCATAAGAGTTCGCGTCTAGTCAATCTGATCTCGCTAAGAAATTGAGGCCCATAGCAATCGAGTATCTCGCATCCTTTGCCGATAAAACGCAGTGCTCTGACTACGACTATTCCTGTAAAAAGATAATTTATTCAACGCCATACAAATTTCTTGCATCAAGATAATCTTCCTTATCAATTTTTCGGACCGCTCACCATTGGGATAAGAATGACGAACCACATTGGGATAACAGCTATGATTCACTAGACTGACTGTGGTATAAATCGCGCCACCGATATTTCTGGGTTCCCAAACGCGCGTCGTTTCCTCGTGAACGTTCTCAACAATCTCGTATGCGTTGCAATTAATTGCCTGCAAATGATGCAGCATAGCCACAGCCAATGGAATAAACGTTTCCTTTGTACAGATGATATCTAGTTTGCTCAGAACGGAGATCAAGCATTTCGCGAGGAAGATCGCCTGAATAGTGCGAATGAGATTCACGTTAGGTTCCACATCGGCACAATGAGTCTCCAATTGGAATACCGTTCGGTAATCAAGAGGATTATACGTCTGTGTCGATACTGATTTCGTGTATTCTTTACTGATGTTCTCGTCGATACTTTTACTAGCATGATATTGTAAGAAATCAGGATTCAAAATATGCCCCGTTTCCGCACTATTTCGCGGCGATAACGCTTGTACAACTGTCGTGCGATAGGCTAACAAGAGGTGAGACGTTTTCTGGCATCTGTCGTTTGACGAATTTTCGAAGAAATAATCAAATACCGAGCACTCGTACTGGTGATAAATCTCCCACGCTTTCTTGCGACACGTTTCTGTGCAAAAAGATACCTGGAGAAAGCGAAAAAAAAATTTATATTGAAGGAATCATATCTATAGCGTGTAAATTCGGATGCACAAAAGGGGGTGATGAGGGTATGAAAAAGAAAAATTAACAAAAACTTGCAGGGATGTTGCTGATATGTATATGGCACGTGCATGCGCGAGTATAATCATGCGTTCTACTAACTCTTTGGCAATTACGGCACGGGATTTTAACGCTGTCTTCTAATTTAAGTGTGGCATGGCAATGCAAGCAATTCCTGCCGAGAGCCGGTGCGTCCGTGCTAAAGGAAAACGGCCGATCGACAATGAGTACAGCCCCCGGTCTGATGTCTCTTGTAGCCACGAGGTGCCGGCCCCTAGCCCCGTCGAAACGCAGCTCGACGCTATCCGGACAACTCGTGAAGCAGTCGTGCGGCTTGCCGTCGACGGCGGGCGTTACGGCGGCGCGTTTCCCAAGCGACAAAGAAGAGGATGAGGAGGAAGAGAAAGAAGACTTCTTTTCGCCCCGTTTTCTGGACGCGTTTCTCTCCAATTTCCGGGAGCACTCTCGTTCTAGCTGCAGGCATTCCTTTCTACGCTGCACAAAGTACCTGACATTCTCCTCGGAGTCGTCATAGAAACTCGTAGGAAGCGCCAGCATGCACTCGCAGTATCGCAGACAGCTCGCGTAAGCGTTCAGATAGTAGGAACGCCTGGCGCTCTCGCAGAGCGCATCTAGGAACACTCTACCGTTCGCACCGGCCGCAAACAGTGCTTTCGTGAGAATATTACACGTTCTAATTTCCTCCGCGTGTTCGTCCCCAGATTCAGCTGCCATCGCCTTGAGCGATCTCTCGTACAACCGTGCGGCCTGTGCGTCGTTCTTACCCTGATACAAAGCGCTCGGTTTCAGGCCCGCTACATAGGGCATGTCTACAAGCATCTCGACCATTCCTCGCCTATTGCCCGATGTGGACAATTTTGCGAACCGAGTCACAAATGGCTCTTGCGAGACGATTTCGTCGTATATGGCATGATGAAATTCATCGAGTGAGACGTTTCTGTAACACAAAGAACGAATGCAATATGAAACGTAAAAAGAGTTTGCGATTCAAATCAACACACGTTCCTCGCAAGAATAGAACGACCAAGTTCGTCAAAAAAGCGAGATGTTTTTGTAATTTAATAAACAAATGTGTAAATGGATCTTTTTTTAGGAAATTGTCGGGGCATTATCAAGAGCAAGACAATGTACTGAGAAACGAGAAAGATAACACAATATCTATTTACATTTTATATTCAATTTGAAGAAATGATAATCAGTTTACAGAAGTAAGAAATTATGGGCAGAACAATGGGAAATGAAATATAATGAAGCAATATCCGGGAAATCATTTGTATAAGAACGTTTTCGAAAATGTATGAGATTCTCTTATCGTTTCTCAATTATTTTAATTAGACCGAGAAACCTGTTTTTCGCTTTAGCTTTGAAAAAAAAAATATATATAT